TCTGTTGACGCTATCCGAGCCACTTTTTCGGTCATCATACAGCTCTTCCTTCATACCGGCATACTCTGCACTCGCGACTGCAGCCTCCTTTTCTACTTCCAGTAGTTCCATCTTGATGGAGAGTAGAGCAGCTTCTTGCTTCATAGCAGCTTCTTTCTGCGCGAAACGTAATCTAGCTTTAGCCCCATCCAGTTTGGCTCGTTGGCGACCTAATACCGTCGATGCTGAAGATCTTTTAGAACTTGACTTAGATGACCTTCTAGAACTTACAAGGGATGGTGTTAGCTTCTCAGATGAATGTTGGTCACGAAGTTCAGCTGTCGCGTATTCAAGCTGTTTTTTTTAATTTCGAAACTTTATTCACGTAGACCTCTTTCAGAGATGTAAGGCTTGCCTGTTCGTTGGCACTTTCAGGAGTATTGTACTTGACCAGGAAGTTCAACAATTCAACACAAAGTTTATCGTAGCGATTATATGTTTCGGTTAAACGTGACTGTAAATCAGCAATGGCATCATGGGATGTTGGGACCATACATTCAACAATACTGTCAATTTCCCTAGCAATTTTGGTCAGTTTATTCAAATTATGATCCAAGCTTTCCCTGAAAAATGACTAGCCTCTTTCTGTCAGAGTATGTTGCCGTTTGGATGTTGAATCCATTTGTTCAGGATCGTCCTGGTTAATTTCGTCCCGTTGGTCCGAAAAAGACATGATGAAACTCTATAGTTTGAAACAATTCGTTTCTCTGGGTCGAGCTGACCTTATAAATGTTCTACATTGCGTACTCTGGACCGAGATGGTATTTCACTTTGTGTCTCTTGACTGAGTAGATTTATCGTTTTGTGTCTCTAGACCGACTAGATTTTTCACTATCAAGCCTGTAATCGATGAAAATGAAAAACGCTTGAAGCATGTAGAAATGTTGGCTTCGATTTTATTCAAGAAAAAGCAATACTTCAAGTATGTCGCTAACACGCAGAAGTCAAACGAAGTACAACATGTTGATCGATGTATGTATTTAGATCAGACTACGGATGTGAGCATGTATGTAGTGAAAAATCTTTGGGGGACTAGAGACGGTAAAATTCCTAGAATTGTACTGTGTGAATCGCTCAGCGATGTAAACACGTCCTACATTTTGAAACGTTCAGCATACGACACAGAAAATGGAAATCCCCGCTTCCAAATATAGACAGGAGTTCCAAAAAGGGGGATAACCCTGCTACACTAACATGACAGTTTTTGTCAGGCAAATGTAATTATTTCCCTTTTAAATTTCCAATAAAATACCGTAGTTAAGACAGGACACGTGAGATAAGTGTCGTTCGGTCTGCCATTCTGTCGCACATCGATATACAACCTAGTGTTGATTAGATCACAATGATCCAATGTATATATATATATATAAAGCAAACAAACAAACAGGGACGAGTTTCATAGCGAGCTCACCTCATCAGAGCTTCTTTAGTGAAAAAACAGCTCAGAAATTCTACCCTGTTTGCTTGTTTATCTTTACTAGTAAATCCGACACAAGATCATTTTATAGATGTCACACAACGGGTGGGTTGTTATATTTGGTATTCTTCCGCTGTTAGTTGCAATAACGAATTGAGTTGGGTTGTCGCTAATTAACATGCAAGATGACTTTTACAGAAATAAGCGGATAAGTAAGAACCAATCCAAAATTATAACAAGAAATAAGTGTGTATGTTATTTTCAAAGCAATAAAATGACTGAACTCTGTTTATAGAACTATTACAAAACCCACAGTCAGTAGGCTACTTATTGCGCGTTTTAATTTCCACGAGTGCATGAAGTGCCATTTCTCAACTATTTGAATATCGGAAGGTTATATACCACTAGTGGTGTATTATGGTAGGTGTATATACACTACAGACTATGAATTGTGCTAGTTTTGTTTACTTTTCTAATATGTATGATGTAATGTTAATTATGACATCACTGGCCGAACGGTTTGTTTTTAAGCAGCCATTGGAAGGGAGAAAGCGGATAAATGTAGTTAACAAATCGGTTGTTGCATTGATTTTGTGGACGTTGTTTTACTGTGTTTTCCCACTCCGTGTGATGTCATCTAAGTGTCTTTTTGAAATTAAGAACGGCCTTGTGAAGGGAGAAAGCAGGGAATGGAAATTTCTAGATCTGTCCATGTGAAAAGAAAAGGGGAGATCTGGTTGCTGTGTTGAAAAAGAACTTGGTCAAACCAGAGACGTATATATCACATATATACGTCTCTGGTCAAACTTTTACAAATATGAAATATGTTATATAAAATATAGTACATCTGTAAAGATTAAAGTATTGTCGTCATCTGAAAGCTCATCAATCCCGAACAAGAGACGACAGAAAGGAGTTTACATAAAGACACGTTAGACCAGCTGGTGGGCGAAAATCATTTCATTGCGGAAGAATATATTGGTGATATTAAGGAAAAAGTCCGAGGGCTTTTCTGTTGAAAAGAGTAAGCTTTAATTGTTTAGATTTTTCCTCGATGGAAATAGCCTACAGTGTAGCACTACTTGAAAGTTCAGTGCCTACTGTGACTATGCGAGCTGTTTGTATCAAAGCTATCTCAAATTGAAGTAAAATCCTATATATCAAACAATCTCTTTGATGACGTCACAACGTTTATTAACGCCAATCACCAAAACAAAACAAAAAATGCTTGGTGTTATTACACGAGTGGTCAGCCGTCTATACATAAAAAATGCGACGTGTGCTGTTACACTGATAAAAGGGTAGTTATATGACACAAAACATCTGATATAAGAAATATTCAATGCGATATGAGAGAAAGGGCCTGTTTCCAGTAATGTTAATTCTCCATAGGAGCCTACCCCCGTATAATTTCTTATCGAGCTCAACTACTTTTTTTTTCTTTTCCGAAAAATAATTTTACACCTTTCCGACACTCAGATTTCATAATTTCAGTGAAAATGTATTTTTATAAAGTTGTCAATTTCAGCATCAAAGACATAAGTTCGTAAATAAAAGAAGGTTATCTCGAAATTGTAATTCGCAACATAGTATAAATTTCTTTTGATAAATATTTCCAAAACATCGTGTTTATTCATAAAACATAAAAAAAATATATTCTCGGATGAAAATGCACTTGCAGAGACACAATTATGAATAAAAATGCAAATTTCCATCAGAAAATCGGATAGAGCTTTACTTGTTTCATATGTGTACCAAAAATCAGCTAATTCCATGTGGTGGAACATTCTCATATATATGAATGTGGTTGTAAATTGAAAGAAAAGGGGAAATGAGTAACAACCTTGTCTGAAACCCTATTATATAGCTTATTATATACAAACTTTTATATTGAATATCAGAGCGGATATTTTCATGACAGTTTTATGAGGTGTAAAAAAAAAAAAATAAAGTACTGTTTCCCCGTCTCGATCTTGATTACTTGAGAACCATTACGTGTGGAACGTATCAGATATCTCTGGCTCCTGGTTACATCGCCGAACATTTAAGTGATGACGGCGACTATGAGGTGTGGCTTTACCAGCACTCCCCAGACCTTCTCCGATGTCAAATACATTCTCGACACAAAAGCCAAACGAAATATAACGTTTGGATACGGTTCACCGTTTCACCCGATGTTGAGGCCCCAATAAAGGACTACTACTGCCAGTGCCCAGTTGGAGAGAGAACGATGGGAATATGTGCGCACATCTCCAGTATCTTGTACTACCTTGGGTATTACAGGACGCTGGAAAACCCTCGACCATTACAACCACAGGTAAAGAAATTCCGACAAAACTTGAAATAGTTTTCCATGCGGCAACAGAGTGCATATGTCGAAAGTATGTTTGGGGCTCGATATGAAAGATCCCCGTTACCATGTGACTAACCAAACTTATAAATATAGGTATTATACAATCGCCCGTAGCTATGAACACTCCCGTAAATGCGAAAACCAACCAAAATCATAAGGAACACGTTTTGTTTGTTGTTCTGTCTATTTGTCAGCCAATGTCTTCAACCACGGGGACTTACGAAGTAGCCATCTTGGATTTTTTTTTATGAAAAAGTGTTTCTCTCACTTTTTTCATATCTGTGTACATATTCTCAACATACCGAGCAAATACTCTCGTTTTTTTGTTAATTATCTAAAGAAAGTCGAAAATCGGCAATTCAACCATAGGCTAATTCAACCCAACATTTGAAAATGTTCCACCACTTACATTTTGATGATTTTTCCTCTCATCAATAGCATATTACGTACTTTTTAATAGGATAAAAATTGGTTTACATCCAACGCCCATAAAAAGGTGTATTCTCTGAAATACACAGTTTTTGTGTCTAAAATGTTATCATCGAAAATGGCATTTTTGAGATTGTTTCTTCCATAAAACAGCCAAATGGCGCGATGGAAACATGATTTTTTTGTCACGATCATGCCATGAATGTATTCTTTACGGTGACTATCATTTGATTAGATTTTCATTAATATTTTACATAACATGCACATTTTATCAACACTTAGACAGCTTCTGAAAGGTACAACTTTGAGGAGCCATAAAAAACAAACCAAGTGACCTAAATCTTTATACTTTATAGATTTGTGACCACAACGGCATGGGCAATGCACCACCAACAGGAAATTTGAATCAGAGAAGGTGCCGTTTTGTATACCGGCCCTTTATATTCTTACCACTTGGCACTACAAAAGTTGAATATTAGAAAAAATCATGTTTTTCTCTTTTTCATATTTACTTGATTGTTCACGGTTTATCAATTTATTTTCCCAAGTTTATATAAAGTATTTTTTATCGAATACGGTTGATAAATGATTTATAGTCTTCATCGGGATAATGCATGTGACAACGATTTAAGCATCTAACTCAAGCAGGATTAAATTTAATTGTGTGATACCTCATTATTTTTCCTATTTTTATTATTTCCCTTGATATATTTATACTTCCGGGTGATGTCGCTGTAAACAGGAAGTGGGCATGTTATAGTTTCATTTAGCAAGTTCGTCAAACAATTCTTTTAGACAAAATGGACAAACTAAAGAAAGTGCTCAGTGGAAACGACGAAGATGAGGAAGAGGGTATTGTTACGCAGGTAAAAATAAACGCTTGGCACCTTTTCAATGCTAGACACTTTCATAAACCCATTTGTTCGTCAGTAACTGTTACCCGTCATATTTTGCTTGGCAGCCGGCCTTGATCATGACTATGAGCAAGCTATCATCCGATCATGAGACACAGGAACACACAACAATTATTTGAAAAAGGGCCTATATAACACACATTGGCTTGCTATTGACTTTATATAGTGTGTGATGTTACATTGTCAATTGAGTTTTAAGATATGTAGTGTGTTTTTAAAGTTACTCCTAATTGATTAAACAGACAAGTCCCTTTTCCCCGGACGTATTCCCGTGTGTTTATACGTTTTTTAACGAATAGTATCGAATATTTGTTGTTGAGTTAGTCATGTCTTACTCATTCTAATCGTGCCCAGTAATGATTTTGCCGGTGATACATTAGCAAAGAACATGACCCTTTTCTTTGAAAAAAAAATAACAGAAGTACATGTAGCATTTTGTTTATTTGTTTTTCATGTGTTAGTCAACATCGATCCCATCCACTGATTATGTAGAGGCGTTTGTCTATAACACTGTTAATATTAACGATTTTGAAAACGATTTTGACCACTTCTTAAACTTTTGTGTGGCTTTACCACATTGCCATATGGGATGTAAAGTGCTACACGCACTGGTTTGATTATCCCTTATAGTTGATATACAAAACTGTATAATATATACAGGTGCGTTGTACTTGTTGTGATATATATTCCGAAAACTTGAATGCATTCATGGAAGACTGGTTTTTGTCATCTAGGTTATTGTCCAGTGGACATTATGAAATGAATGATCAAGGATGTTTACCATTTTTCAGATAAGCAACAGCACAACTCTTAGCTGGTCTACAAGGATCAAGGGCTTCATTGTGTGCTTTGTTCTTGGAGTATGCTTATCTATCCTGGTACGGTACTATATTAGCTAAAGAAACAAGTGCATAATTACTAATGTTAAGTCTTAAGTTTATTTAGCCCAAAATGCATTTTTATTTTATTTTTTAGAATATAGTTAAAGCAATTTTTTGGGAAAATAAAAACAACATGGCTATTGAAAAGAAAATCTGTGCAATATACATCAGATTCCATAATAATCAAACACATGCTTGTTATGTTCATGTATATAGATGTTTACCATTTTGGAATCCTGTTGAGGTCAATATTTAGTAACATTTTGGTTCTTAACAAAAATGATCATGTTATCATTTTGACCATATAAACATTTTCTTAAATTTTCAGGGAAGCTGTTTACTTTTCCTGAAAGATGGTCTGGTCATATTTGCAGTATTATACACATTTGGAAATGTATTGTCTTTAGCAAGGTAATCACAGTGTGCAAGAAAAGAAAACTATGAAATTTCTAAGCCATATTTAAGAAAATAGAAAGGCTGTGTTATAATGGATCTTATGGTGAATATGTAAATGTTCATTAATATATGTAAATATAAGTATAACTAAATACTCTTCAAAAACCTATCATGGAATAATGACTTAATGTTGTCTCTTTACAGAAATTCTCTGCATTAAGTTGTTAACAATATACCTAGTGATAGAATAGTTGTCGCTTTTTGACAGAGAATTGATAAAAGGCTTAATGATGATCACTTGAGCAGACCTGACTAACATAGATACAGTCATCTAAAGTCATAAGAAAAGTCATCTTACTCTTTGATGCAGATTTATATAGAAATTGATATATGTCAATATTGTTTCTTAACTGTGAACTGCATCAGTATTATTACATATGCAAATACACTTTGAATTAAACAATATGTAAGTTGACCATATATGGAATTCTTCATAAATATGCAAGAATATACTACTTTATATACAATGTGAAGTTAATTTTGAGGTTATTAGGTCATTGGCAGGAGGAAAAGTGTTTTCTTTATAAAACAAATGAGCACTACAGATTCCTTTCCCTTCTTATTTAAGTTTGAAGATAAACTGTAAATAAAATTGACAAAAGTTGCTTATCTAGATCTTTAAAAAGTTACATTGAAGATGACATTAAAATACGTATTTGGCTTTAACATTTTTGTTTGTTTCTTTTCAGCACATGCTTCCTTATGGGACCAGTGAATCAACTAAAAAAGATGTTTGCTAAAACCAGAGTAATAGCAACATTACTTGTAATTGTAAGCACATCAAATGTCAGAGAAGTTGTGGTGGAACACTTTGATTATCATGTCATGTTTTTATCATACTTTTAAGAGGTTTTCTACTTGCCTTTCAAAAATTAGTCTGTCTCCTGAGTTTTGCAAGGTGTGCATGAAAATAGAAATGTGTGTAGACTCTTTGCAGACAAAACATTTTATGACTTAGAAAATTGCATACTGTCAAATGTCAATTGTAAATCTAATAGTGTTGTAAATGTACTGTTACTATACTAATGCTATTCATACAATTTCTTCCAGTAATGATATATATTTTAACTCTCAACTTGTTGGCACTAATTACACAAACTCCCTTAAGGATATGTTTAACACTTCTGTATAAGGTTCTTGTGTGACTGATGAACAGAGATAAATACATCATAGACATAACTGTATTTGTCTGATTTGAAAAAAAAACCCAATGAAATATTGTTCACATTTCTTAGAAGCTGTATTAAAGATTGTAACAAGACAGCATTATTAGAATAGGCTGCTCTTTGTAACATTGTACAAATTTCTGATCTAATCTCATACACTGCAATATAAATCTGTTATATTTGAATTGAGATAAGAATGAAAACGACTGATTTAGCATGTTTATACTTTAATTAACAAAAAAAAAAACAAATTTTTCAAATGGTTTGAGAGGTCACCAATGATTTGTTGGTAAAAAATAATTAATCTTGGTATCATTAGTAATTGTTTTCTTTCTTTTGCAGGTAATGTTTATTTTGACACTCGTGTGTGCATTTGCTGTAAGTAGTCTTTCTTTTTTTCTTTCTTTCTTTTTTTTTTTTTTTTGGGGGGGGGGGGGGGGAGTCTTTTTTTCTTTCATTTGATCAAGCAGATCTTGACAGTCAGCTTGTTATAAAACATTCAGTTATCAAGGTTACATATCAGAAAATAACAAAATGAGCCTCACAAAGAACACATAACAATAAACCATGAAATATACTGCTAATGATGCATCATGTACATATATGCTGAAGACACTGTGATATCTGTGAAATTATAACCTAGACCACCAAATTCATATTCAGAACTCTGAGGTTTTTAATCTCATTCCTCTTTTCTCTTCTTTTTTTTTTCAGTTGAAAAATACAGCTTTGGCCATTGTATGCTGTGTGTTACAGTTTCTGGCTTTAACTTGGTATTCATTATCCTACATCCCATTTGCAAGGTAAGTTCTTCCACCCACTGTGTGTCTATTACTAAGTGCTGACAAAAATACCATAACAAGGTGATTGCCCTTTTCCAAATTCTCATGTTTCAGACATAAAGTGTTCCTTCAAGAAAGTGTACAACTCTTTTGTGTTTCCTATGATAAACATTTTAGTATGAGACAAATACCATACAAGAAATTGTGGGGATAAAAGTTTCAGATAATTATTATTATAGGCCTGACACAAAGAAATTGCTTTGTATCTTGAGTGTGTCCAGAATATTTTATTGATACTATAAAATCAGCCAATGATTTAGATGTGAAATTCTAAACATTTACAACAATATTTACACTAACCCTTTTTATCCAATTTTTCACCTTTACTTTGGTTTATTATGTTGTGGAAATGTCTCTTATCGCACAGTATTTGCTAGTATGTTAAAGACTTCATTTTTCCCGCCTAGTCTGGACCATCAAGCAACAACAATCTATCAACATAATTGTGATGTTAAAATTTTTTTTTTTGTGTGTGTGTGTTTCGGTATAGCTGTGTTTAGTTGTAAATGTTATAAAATAAAACATTTGATTTTGTGAAGTTATTTTCCCTTATTAAATATACACTTTAAAGGGACTGCAGCTTGGAATTGTTAGGCCGTATTGTCACATTACAGCTCAACTTTCCAACGACTTTTCAAAGGGGAATAACTGATAGTTGATTTCCATTTTCATGATACCAAATATCCTTGGTGGGAGTATAATTATGGGTTATTTTACAATAAGGTATTGCTACAATTCAATGAGTAACCATGGCTTTCTGTAGAATAATGTTTTCATCTAAAACTATTTTTGCAATTTTCATTTTATCCAGAGATGCAGTTAAGAAGTGTTTTGGTGCATGCTTGGAATAGAGTGCCACAGTTTAAATAACAATCACAGATAGGTACAGAGTGCTACAGTTCACCATTATCAAGTCAACAACCATCAGCATGTTTGACATGGTAAAAGTATATATTTATTCAGTTTGTAAATGTGTATGTATGGGTATAAAAGAAATCTGATATCTATTGAGACTGTTCTGTTTTGTGATTGGTTATTTTGTTAACATGAACAACATTAGTGAATCCATGATACTAGCTATTAAATCACAAATTTTCAAAACACTTACATGTAGTCCGATTCCTGTAGAGATTCTGGTGTACAGATTTTGGCCATCCAACACTAACACATTTTAAGTGATGTACAGATTAAGACTATTCTGAGGACAAATACACTATTCATGTATAAATTCTTGACCATGAAATCTAAATACAATTTTTTTTGTAAATATGATTTCTTGATTGTATGTTAATGTTTAACTCTGAAAGAGCATTGTTAATGATTGAAATATATTATTTTTGTTAAACTCTGTATTCTGCTAAGATTTTAGCTGCAGATATGTTCCATTAATTAAATTATATGCTACAAATATGTTCAGTTGAAACGATTTGAAGATGTTACTTCTAGACTGCCTATTCAGGTTCAGATTTATTCTGTTTTATACTTTCAGAGTGTATTATAGTTGTTGTATGTTAGAAGATGTAAAGCTTATAACATTTAATACTGGTATATTTGTAAGAGTTGGTGCTGGCTTAATGCTGATTGTTGTGCCTCCATGTATTGCTAAGAATTCAGGTATCAGTATGTTTTATACCGCCGTTCCCTGCAAAGTCATCGGTTATCAATCTCAGCAAAAATTTGTATAAATGATTGTTATATCTTGTATTTGTGCATCTCGATCTTATCCTAATGTTTTGACCAATGCAGGTTTATATTTTTTCCCTAAAAGTTTCTATGTCCATGGGTTTTTTTTTGAGGAAATGTGGAGCACTTGCAAATGTATAAGTTATCAATGGGGTGATAGTTCTTGTATTGAAAAAAAATATTTGTGACACTTCATATGGATGCCATATTATGTAAATCTAAGTAATGTGCACTTTGTCAAATGATTACTTAAAAATTATTACTGGGTAATATTGGTTTTGGGACATTTTTCTATTTCAAGTAATTCTCATTTGGTTTAATTTTCATACCTTTTTATCTGAAAGATAAAGTCTTGATATTAAGAAATAATTAGACATTAATACATTGCACATTGTGGGGTTTATGTAGCATGAAACAAGCCCATTTAAAGTTTAGAGATCTGAGGAAATATTTTAAGTTGTTTAAAAAGTTATCAGGAGATGCTTAAAATTTTTCCTAAAGTTATAGAGATCGAAAGATGTAATGGACTATTGCTCTTATGGTCTGACAATGATTCTACCATATTAAGGACTAGAAAGGTAACACATATATCTAATGCTCAAAAGAACTTTTTTTTGCCTGCTTGTATGACATCCTCGATTAAAGCTTAAATCTTTAAGTTTTTTATATGAATATATCATTCTTGTACAGATTTTGGGGCCAAAACCATTTTCAATATTTGTTATATCTTTTGATCATTGGAACAAAGTATGCTGTTTAAACATATACATTTAGTTACAGTATTCCTTTATTTACAAATGTCTTAACTAAACAGCCTATTTTACATTTGCATGTATTTTTCAGTAGTTTAATTCTTGTAGAATATTTGGTTTCTACAGAGCAAAAATATTTCTATAACCCAAGTTTCCACTCAATATTTTTTTTCTACCTGTTGTAATGAACAAGAGATTTTTATCAAAACCCAGACTAAACTTCTTATTCTTAATCATTTTAAACAGTAAAAATGAACACAATTAGCAGCGGATAGATGCACAAAATTACAGTACTGTATTTGAGGAATATTACTGCAGTTTAACATTTGTCAATTTTGTCCTTTTGTTAACAAAGTGCAAAGAGAAAAGTTGGGCAAATGCTTTATTTTAGCTAGAATATATTGTTTTTATATGTTAAGTTTTTAAATCTGACTAAAATGATCATTTTAATGAAAAGATGAACAGACGTCTAGGCAAATGTTTCCCCACTGTATAGTAGTTAGCTTATCAAATTAATCATTAGTACTTACTGAATATAAGCTTACTGTAAAGATGACAGGATTTTCAAACATTACTTTAGAAATATTCTCATTTGAGATTTGTCATGGATTAATGTAATTTTCTAATTTAGCATTTGTACATTTGTTTTTCTTGATCTACCTTACAGAGATTAAGTTGTATTTTTCTATGGAATGGTTTCTTTGTAATATGTACAATTATGTGAATTGCCTTACATTAAAGATACATATTTTTTTAGCATATAAAATTGACCATTAAAATTCAACAATTATTGGTTTGCTGTAGAAGAAATTTGGTAAATGGAAGAAAATATTTGTCATGACTAGCCTTTCGCTCGACATTTTTGTTACGGTTGTGACTTATTGGAATAGAAGTTTTACGGTTTTCTTTATATTTTGAAAAATCAAAATGAAAATAGAGATATTTTTCAAAAGTGAAGTGTGATATTCAAAGTGTCGGCAAACTCTGATGTTGGTTTGAGTCAATTTCTAGACATTGTTTATTTTCTTTAAAGGTTTTGGTGCCTTAATTGAAAAAAAGCTTTTCAAAATGTTACATTTTATCAAAAGGGGTACAACTCTTGCCATCAGATTGTTTAATGTTATTTTTCTATATACTGTGTGTTGTTCAATGTCTTTAGTAATAATAATTGGTTTTTGAGTGATTATATAGCTTAAATTATAGCAGAGATAAATATTAAAATTCCAAAAAGTTCTGCTTTTAAAATATACTGTTCCTGGTACATGTATCCCTTGTAAGCCCTTAGAATAAGGGTATATCTTGGTAAAATTAAAGAGTCAAGACACGGTATTGGATTCTGGATGTGAAAAAGTGACTCGGAAACTATTGTATGAAGATACCTATGTCTTGAAGGTTTGCTGACATCAATAGTCAATAACCTTAAAAATCTGTCTTTTTGCTTCTTTAGTAAACATCGTACATGATTAGGTGATCGGTTTCATACACCATATATCTTAAAAGCATTTTTGATTCTGTACCTCCAGAATCCAAGGGTTCATACATGTAGTAGATGTGATGACAAGCACGGAATCCTCGGAATTCTAAGATAGAAGATTGAAGGCATCTGTTGGGAGATATTATCAATATCAAATCTACTTCTACCTCTCAATTGAAATTTACCTAGCATTCCTTACGTTGTTTGTTGGTAAAGAGATGGAAAGTGCCTCCCACCTTTCTTATTAGTATAAGACAAAGCTATATTTATAAGATACAAACACATACACTTTTTGTATCACATCTTGTCAGAAAGCATTAAAATGATAGTGATTATTCTGTAAAATGTTGGTTTTTGTGAAGGTATTGTATATAGTCTGACAGCTTAATTGACACCTGCAGTTTTGTAAACAGATTTTCAAGTCAAGATAGGGAATTATCTTATGTAGAAATGTGAACAATACCTGTTATTTACAGGGTTATTTATTCAGCTCATGAAATGTAGGAAATTAGATGGTCCTTTGTAGAGAAATATTATCCTTCTGACATGGGGAAGGAGAGAAGGTTTACAAATTACAGTCATTCTGAGGCAGGATCATCTGCAGTACATGTAACTGTGGTTCACTTAGTGTCATGTGGGAATCAGTCACATGCCTAGAACACTGTAGAAAGGCAGGTTCTATATATAGCATTGATGATAATTGGAAACATGGACTTATATAACTTTCAAAACTCTGTGTACATTTAAAAAATAGATGATCTGTTGGATGTTGGTAACAGTAATCTAGAACAACAAAACAAATAACTTTAACAAGTATGATTGGATTGACTGAGTAAAATAGAACAATTTAGAGGTGTTATGAGGTTGCTATTTTTTTACCTGATGTGCTTGATACAATGAAAAAATAACCGAAGCATTATACTCCTTAAGTATGAATGCATTAAATAGAATTTATTCAGAATTAATCCATTGTCTTTTTACATCCCAAAATGGAATACATTCTAATAGAGAATTGATAGAAAACATTCTAACTCTAATACAAAGATAATTAGCTTTATAAGTATCTGGAAAGATCTTGGATATATTCAGTGTCAAAACTGATATATTTATCTAGATACTGAACAGTAAATGTTAAGCTAACATGAAGATACACACATGGACTTGCAGATACCAGGTATGTCTCTAATCAAAATTTGGTTCAGATTCTGTCTCATTTCTACGCAGAATTTACAATGCAAAAGTTGGTCAAAGACTTGTGGACCAGTGCATCGATATTTCTGTACGTTTGTACACCTAGATAGGGCATCAGATGAACTAATGCTGGTATCTTTGGACTTGTTATGGAGTAACTCTACGACTACTAGCGGTTAATGAAATGTAGTTATTTATGTAAATTGCATCCATTAAATATACAACATGTCCATATTTGTATGTATGATGAAATAAACAAGGATGTCAAATTTCAGTTTTGTTATTAATTTTACATATTCATTGATCCTCATATTTTAACTAAGATGGTTTAGTTATTTGTCAGGATTAAATTTACCACCTATATATCCTTAGATAAATGTTATTCGATGCGTTTTGTCAGAAGCGTCCTTCCCTTGAACATTATTTTGAAGCTATGATTTGTCAGGGTTTAATTGCCTTCACGTCTTGGTGATCTCTTGATGAGATATACATGTAGCACAGTGCATATCACTATAAAATTAATACAATAACTTGTGTCATAATAGTACAATGGATATCGCTATGAAATCAATATAAATTCCTGTATCATACTCGTATGTAAATGTTTTAAATGTAATGGTACCTTTTACAGTGAAACTCGTTAATGAACTGCAAAAAAAGACCTATATATACCATGTATGATTTTTTATCGCGCAGACTGCATACACATCCAGACGTAACGATAAGTATTACCTTTTTAGGACCATTCCATTACTGTAACAATATATGTCAGTCTCTGAATAGTTGTTGACCCAGACTGTCAGCAAGTGTCAGCAACATTAAAAAACGTTATTCATTGATTTAAAAAGAACGAACGAACAAACAATGTATGTGCAACAACTGTATGCATTGTTTTTTTATTTACTCTTTAATATTGTTTACTTAAATTTACACTTAATGACAAAGTGAATAACTTTATCCTGTTAGTGTACCGATCGTAGCAGCCATTCCAGGCATAACTTCTGTTTCTATGACATTTCAATTCATTTATTACCTTAAACCGTTCAGTTTATCGGTACAGTGCATATTGTTATATTGTAAGTACACACACAACAACAAACATGAAAAACATAGCTTACAATACATACCTATCCGATCAAAGAATAGAGAAAAACAACATTTATCAACATATATATGTATATATTAAGTAGTATACATTCGCCGTTTGGTACTAATGCTGACATATTTTCTTAAATTCGACAAATCTTTATCATTTTCTGTTTCCAAGATTTGATAAATTTTGCCGTACTAGGTTTCAAATGATAATATTTTTTGATAAAATATTTTCTAATATCTTTATAAAACTCACGTTCTTAGATAAAATGGTACTCATCCTTAATATCACCACTAATACAATATGTGCAAACTTTTATTTATTTATTTTTTTTGTTGTTGTTGTTCAACATTATTAAATCTACCGATTTCAGTTTACAATTTATGCACTGGCAACATTTTTTGCAATTTGTTTGAGATTTTATAAACAAATAGACTTTGTTAAATACTGCTGACGACAAAGTTTACCACTAATATAATTATAGAGTGAAAACTTCGATGACAACTTAAACTCATACCTTCTCGCTGAAAAACGTCGCTCATCCTAAATTTAATTAGATTTACTTTTAAAACTTAATTGCTATTATCACCATTGTCCACCAAATACCCTAAACCTATTTTTGATAATTCATTCATTTCACCATCAGTCCATTCACTCCTTCCATCAATCATACCTTTGTAACAAGCTCTCAGTACACATTTATCTAAGTTTTAGTCAATATTTAAAGATTCTAAATTTGCGAACTATATCTAATGGTGGTATGCCAAGTTCGTGATTTCTGAAAATGTTTGAAGTACTGTTTTAACCTCGAAGATTCTCTTACAAAAATTTACATGTATTTTTTCTACATCAGGCGCTTTGTGAAATTCCCAAAACCTCAGGCCCATAGTTCAGAATAAAACAGACAACGGTGTCAAAAATTAAAGTTGAGTGTCAATAATAAAATATTTTCTCTTACAAATGTTTGATATGGCAAATGTACCACACCGATATACAAAGCGAAGCAAACACGAAACCGGACACCACATGTGAATTTATTTCAGAAAGAACTACACTGTAAACATGTTAAATCTTTGTTTATAACATATCTATGATGTATCAAACACAAAGACGAGAAGAAACAGATGTTTTTATCTGTTTTATCTTTAAACGTGTTTGCCTTGTTGATTACATAATTTAAACACTGTACAGAACCAATGGAAGGTAGTTATCCACTTCTAACAAGGCCGACTCTGATCCAGGTAAAAAACAACATGTATATTACTATTGTACCAAGACAGGTACAGTAGTGATGTCGCTTACTTTAAACGTATTCTGGTAAATGGCGCCAAAACTTATTACTTATACGAAAATTCTAAGAATTTATTTTGACGATATTGACTGATGAAGACACAATATATTTACAGTAATAGATTGATTTCTCTGTTCTTGTTTTCCGTGATACCACGGAAAAAATCGCCAGGGACAAGACGGCACAAAAGACACTCAAGTAAAAATAACCTTTCTATACAAAATTAGAATTATATACAGAAGGTCAAGGTCATCAATAACTTCACTCTACAGATGTCTCGTTCATTTGGAACTCATCTGTGATTGGGAAGGCCTGAATTTTGAAATCTTGGAGTCGCCTACGGAAAATTTTAATTGATCGAAAAACATTTAAAAATCTAGATTGGGATATACACCAGCCACATTAGTAAGTTGATTTTACAATGTTCATTTATTCGATGAAATTTCAAAATAACGTAGAGTTCATGTGTATATTGTGAACTGTTCCTGTATTTGAGTGCAAGCAGATTACGGCAAACCTCGGGGACTGACATCTAAAGCGAATGTGTACCAACTGTTATCTATAAGTTGGTACAAACGACACATGTAAATAACACATTTCAATATAATGATGGAATGAGATATATTATTCAGGTTCGTAACATACCAAATCATTAAACCCGTTTAACAAACTTTATATCACGGCGTCCTGAGTGTAAATTTTTTAAATAACCGAAAACTCTCAAATGAAGGTAGACTTATTTCGGCGCGGGCGGTAAGTTTTTTACTACCAACCCAATCATGTGACGTCAGCAGGGCGTATCTTAACTATGACGTCACAATATTGTTATTACACACGTGTCTTGCGATATTTATGATATGGTCGTATGAGTTAGGTGAAAAAAATGCAAAAAATTGTATTTCAGCTCGATGAACAAACTGCAAAATACACGAGGGCAAACAAGACTGTCCAAAGAAGTTATGATGGTGGCCAAAAAAAATTATTATAAAAGACTTACACAGCTAGATTTGAAACTCGATATAAAACAAGACTGCTTGCGTGATGTCGTCCTACTAACATTATAATACAAGCTTAAAAAATTCGAAGTATCAATGTGAATACAATTGAATGTGTAAATAAGTACAAAAATGATAATAAACTTCTACAGTGGAAAAGAATACGAGTCAATAAGAAAGACAGATTAAAATTGTTCTTCTCAAGTTTATAATCAAAACAAGAGAAGTAGTCTCTAAATCGTGAAACTTTTAGCCAGGAAGTATATATATATGGTTAGACTAGAGAGTGCGCAAATCATATCAATTAACAGTTTGTAGAAGATTGGTTTATTATATGTAATAAACTAATTAATTAAATGCTGGCTTAGAACGCATGAACGCATTGACTTGGATCCATATGAACACGTGATAGGAATGTATATATATTACACAAAAGTCTCGTTTCTGTAATACTAACTGTATTTTATCTACGTTTTATATTGTTGGATACACTTATTAACACTAGCCCTTATCAACATCGCAACGAAACAAAATCCATTCAAAAACCCAATGTACTGGTACTCAGTGTGTATATATTGGATAAACCTACATACACATGTGCATACCTGGACAGGTTCTTACCTGTATTGGCTATATTTAGCACTACACACAGGAGTACATGAATACCGGGTATAAACAAATGTAAACAATATGTAAATAGACAGTACGTTTGGTTGGGTTGTTACTTTCACTACAGGACTGGTTTTGTCTCTAACTGACAGGCACGTGTTTCGGTAAGTATAACGTTAACACTACTAATCATTCAATAGACAACGTGTACGTATTGTACCTGTAGGATTAGACAGTAGACGTTTTTATATTGTAGATATTTTGTATCTATAATACTACTTAGATATACATTTAGTTTACATACACAAACATGTAAACATTGATGGTGTCACACCACTTGATACATCTGTATGTTATGTAACTTGGTGTGTTTAGTTACAAATGACCGGTACCGTACTCGCAATCTTTACATATACATCAAACACACATGATTTGTTTATAAACAATTGTTTAATAATTCTCTATCAATATCAGTATGTTGTAATTTGGTAAACAGAGAATAACACTTTTGATATTAAAGAAATGTTTTAAAGTAGTTATAACACAAATTTTAAACTTTAATGATTATATTTGTATCAATCTCAGTACAGTCTAGGAGTTACTTCCCTTACATCGTAATCGGTGTGTTCTGGTATTGCCGTAGAGTACTGGTCATGCTTTAATTACCATATAATGTACGTCAATGATTCTTAATTATAATAATACATATATCACTTAGTACAGGTGGAATGTTGTACTGTTCAGTGATTAAACGGCTCAGTTTTCTGTGAACAGTTACTCTGAGCGAGGGTTAGGGGAGGGGGATAATTCATTTACGAGGCATTACCGAACTACAGGTGCATTGTTGAGTATATTTACAAGTAACATGGATGACTCATGGTTCTTAAAACAAATCAATATTTTTTGTGTAAATAAACCTTGAAATTACAAATGTACCCAATGTAACTTGATGATCGCAAATATACCAATAAGTTATTTATTTATCTTTATTTCATATAATTGAACTATACACCAAAAGATGATCCCAATCGCCGCACAGGATTTTTTTGTTTTGTTTTGTTTTGTTTTTGTGAGTAAAATTATTACAAAAAATGTTCATCCGGACCACTTTATATTGCACCAGCTTTGCATCAACTTAGTGTCATTCGTTCTTCAGATTGCTCGAAGAATTATATTTTAGTCCGGGTATTCTGAAGAAGTTTGTTTTTTCCGTCTATCATTTCTGATGTTGAAAGAGGTTTGATTACTAAACTGCTAAAACTAATATTTTCAGGCATGCTTTCCACTCACGGTGATAATGGTAATGGTATTTGTGCAATAAACATGTCGAAAACCATCCACAATCAATGTTCATTCATTAATAATTTGTTGTCATTAATAGGGTGACAGGAAAGCTGATACCGATACTCAAGACATCCGTATTACGGATACGTGACAAGTGAAGTACTGTAGATGCTGAACAGATGATGTAATTATCTGGTTAACAACGGTGGTCAGATGTCACGTGTTAAAGAGACTCCCAGATAAACGACAGGGATGAACATGAATCTCACCGGAATGACATCTCACTTTCGTCTGGTTCTATCAACAATATGTGTCACTTAGCAACTCGATAAGGTACCCGGAAGTGCCGATTTCGTTGAAGTGTCGCCATGGCAACGGATCTTGACCATCTGCTGACCTCTATGAGGGGGATGAAGGTCGAGCTGATGATCAGCTGTACGGACTTAGTGGACCTCGATACCTTCACAAAGTCCGATCCGATGTGTGTTCTCTTCGTCAAGTCCATGGGTAAATGGGTCGAATACGACCGTACTGAGTCCATCAAAAACACCCTAAACCCAAAGGTAAGGCGCTCTTAATATATATATTGAGGTAGCGCTAACAAAAAAACATCAAATGAAGAACAACATATATATGTATATAAACTGATTACTATTACTTTATATTTCAGTTTGAAAAGTCCTTTGTTATTGAGTTTGATCCAAGAACATACCAATACATGCGATTTTCTGTCTACGATATCGACTACAAGTAGGTACCATGTGTGTCACATTTCTTTGTGCAAAATGAGTATCTATTCCTCTGTCAAGAATTTGTAGAGAGATGAAGGTGATGCTTTCAACAAATGTCATGTTCAGAGATAGAAGATGGAAATATTAAAAAAAATTATCGATAAAATCATGAAATGATTTAATCTAAATTCTAGAAAGGGTTGTCTTAGAAAAAAAGTTTTAATAATCATTTTTATATTCACTGTCACAAAGCAATTTGCGTAACTTGTCACTATGATTATACATTGAGGTCCCTACGAGAGGGTTATTGAGTTGGTAATGAATTCCGCCATGCTTTGTTTAGAGCCTTGCCGTAACGGTGACGTGTAACTTTCCTCGTTCATAGAAAGCAACTAAAGCATTTTTCGCATCACCGTGGAATTTTTCCACGAGAAAAAGGATTATATCCTAAAAATGATTTATGGTTGCCGATATACTTATCAGTGATTCTCCTATCTGATGTATTCCTTTCAGACGGTTATTTCAATGCCCTTCCGGTATTTACCAAGTCTGACATCAAATTATTATCCGGTGTCTCCGGAATACTTCTCAGGTCTTAACGCTGATTTTGACTAATCATTCTATGGAGAATCCTTTCATTATTCCGTCATTTAGATGTCCTCGGGTGATCTGAAGTAAGAGATGGGTACTGAAAGATAATGCTTTCGGTGGCTTTTTATAATATAGTACGTGTTTGTCCTGTTGAGTTACTCTATCCGAATATCAACATTCTTCAATTGCTTCTTATTTTCTTGTTGATCTGTGCGGTATCGCATGTTTGCATAGTGCAAAGTGAGGCAAGCCTTGAGTGCAATACAAGACTTTCCTATAAGAATTGTGTGGAATTGAAAGAGTTGATATAATACATCAGGCCAGAGACACTCACAGACGATATAACGCAACAAATAGAGTTGCTAACATGCATGATTGCAAAGTATTGGATTGGAAGAGAAATTTAGACACAGACAAATCGTAATGGTCTGCCCAGCTTAAATTTCACACTGAATTTAACAAGCAATACACGATCAATTTTTTATTCGAAATTCAGTGTTGATTCAGAAATTAATGTTATGGCACTACATGTGAAATAGTTATAACAAGAGGTGTAATTCTCATTTTCCTTTTTAACCAGTAATTCCAAGTTAGAACTACAAGACTATGTGGGATGCGTGGATCTTAACTTCATGGATCTCATCAACGCCAAAGAAACTATGTATACCTGTAATAAAATACTTCGAGTTCAAGGTAAGACATATCATTGACAGGGTAAACAGAAAACATGAATATATATAAATACTTCGAGTTCAAGGTAAGACATATCATTGACAGGGGTAAACAGAAAACATATATAAATACTTCGATATATATAATATATATAAATACTTCGAGTTCAAGGTAAGACATATCATTGACAGGGGTAAACAGAAAACATGAATATATATAAATACTTCGAGTTCAAGGTAAGACATATCATTGACAGGGAAAACAGAAAACATGAATATATATAAATACTTCGAGTTCAAGGTAGGATATATCATTGACAGGGGTAAACAGAAAACATGAATATATATAAATACTTGATTCACTCGCAAACAGGGTATTTGAAAATGACTTGTAACACAAATTACGACAAAAAACAAAATATTAAATCCAGGGAGTTCTAAATGTGGAAGAGTCCCATGATCTGCAGCAGACTGAATCGCCTGTCATAGAAAATTTCTTCTGTCTTACATCAGCTCACGAGCAAACTAAACTAATACCTAATGTGATTGAAAGTGGTAAATTTTTGAAGACCCATGTAAATAGTGGTTTCATCAACAGAGACGGAATTAGAGGACAGTTTAGAGGCGAAAAACACTGCCTTGTCGCCATTTTAACAGCGTTGATTTTCAAGTTGATTAAACAATCAGAGAAAAGATATAACCACACGCAGTGTTTGGGGTTGAAATAGGGACTGGCTTTATAACGTTGTAACTGGATACACAGAAACAAAAAAAGCATTATACATTTAATTCGTTTTAAAAGAAAATATTCTAATGTAATAGTACAATGTATCAGGCCAAACATTCTAACGTGGAGAAATTGAAAACTGATATAGTGGAACCAGATGGGTATATATTGTGATATTACATATCTGTCTTATAGAGTTTCTCTTTGTATCCGGTTAATTATCACAAACATTTATTGCTTTCTCTTTTAGAATCTTCTAAACCCCGGGGAACTATCAGCATTACGTCGGAGCTCATGGCGGTAACACGCGATACAGTCAATATACACGTGGCCGCTCGTAAACTTGATAAGTCGAAGGGCATGTTCTCTAAAAAGGTGAGTACATATCAAAATAATGTTACTTTTTATGGCATAGATACAAGAATAAACTTGGTACGAATCTAAAGGGCGTTAGTCGGTATGATTAGTATTTAAAAATAGTCTTGAGAAACAAATCGATTTTATGTATAAAACTGACGGAATTTTATTAACCATTATTCTGGTCCAATGATTGACATTGTGAAGCATTTAAATTTACAGTCGACATGATGTGATATAAAAACTTTAATTGAAAAATATACGGAATTCATTTAAAATTACAAAATATTGTAATCGAACTATCTGTAAATAGATAAAAAATATCATGAATTCTGATATTCTGAATTGGTTACGGCGTACGAATTGAACTACCTCAAACACTCGCGTCTACACTGAAGTTTCTAGAATGAAAGTATGGATATAGTTTGCTCCAAAGATGGGATCGTACAATTTTGTTCCATATATATATGTGTGTGTGTAGATATAAGGTTAAAAATATCTCGAGCGAGTAATAATGCCCTGTCATGAAGATCTTTATTATTGATTTCAAAGAAACTGAAGGGTTAAAAAGAGATAACGATGATAATCAGGAAACAAAGAGGATTGAGTGCTGTCTATTCCAGAGAAATTACAGAGAATATTAAGCTTTTTGGAAAGAGACATTTCTGATGTGATTATAATATGACAAAGGACAGTGGTATCATTAACAATTTAATGAATGTTATCGTAGTATGTCTACAGTGAAATGTCATTGTAGTTTTATAGCCAGTAAATAGGGATTTTTAGGATTGGTTATACATAATGTCGGATATCGATGTAACATATAAACAAGCGCTAATTGTAACTAAGACCGTTACATATGTCCCCCAAACACATCCGCAATCGTTATTGATGTACACACGGATTCATACGTAATGTGATTAAAAAACGAAACGATATTTGCTTTTCACCACATTATTCGTCTATATGCAAATTCATGTAGCAGCCATTTTGTCAAAGAGGAAAATCCATCATCATTGTTTTGTCAGACCACACCTCTGTACAGACTTTTCTTTAAAAATATGTAAATTTCAACCAGTCAGAAGCTCCGCTCGTCGGTCATTTTGTTAAATCAGAAAATGAACTCCATAATTGTATTCTTGATGTCATAAAATACATACGCACTACTTTTCCTTTAAAAATCGGACGTTTAAATTTTAACCAATCAGAAGTTGCTATATGGTGGCCATCTTGTCAACTCCGAAAACGGTCACAGACTTTTACATACTTTTCTATACATAAGTACCTGTAAAATTTAATTAATGTACTTTCTTGCGCAGTACAAATTCTGTAATTAAATATGCATCAAAATATTCTATATTACAATCCTAAGGTTATTAGTTCATGTTTCCTGTCTTAATAGCACGATGTTTACCTGGAGATTTCTAAGGAATTATCACGTGACTCGGGGAACTTCCAACCCGTGTATCGCACAGATGTCTACCCAAAATCAAACAAACCCAGGTATGTCACACACTGTTACATGTAAGGATCACTCAATATACAAAGCTATAGGTTACGTCTACTCCCCATTTATTAAGAAGCTTCAAATGGTAACGGTGTGATACCTATCAAAGTTTATACAGTGGATGGAATTGCATTTCAGTTTTGAAATGATACACATGGAAGTAAACTGTTATAAGGAGGAAGCACATTGTTATGTGTCATTGTCTTATAAATTTGACATTCTCCTCCATTCACGTCATGTTTTTTATTATAATGTTTTACTTTTGAGCTTGCTTATTTCTCTTTCTTGCGTGTATCATTCTATGAACACCCAGCTCATTTCAGCAGGATATATGTGTAGCTGATGAGCGGGGGTCTGTACTGATTTAGCATAAATGCTCTAGATGGCATTTGGCGGGACTCTCGTATATCGTTCAGTAAGACAGCCACCAGCTTCTTCACAATGACTCTGGCGTTTTATGTGCTTTATTAAACTTAATTAACATACAAATCACTTTGTAGCTTTTTGGAAAAAGTGTCTTGTCCAAGGACACAGCCATAAACATAGCCTTAGCTATCACAGAAAACACAACCCTACGAGTAAGAAGAACACACACGATCGCAATTGTCAATGTTCTTCTGGTTCTCTCGAATAGGTGGCGACCATTCTCGTTTAATCTTCAGAAGCTTTGCAACAATGACTGGACGAGAAATTTGAGGCTTTCTTGCTATAGGTAGGTAAAATTGTACGGAAGTTAAGATGTACATTGTAAAATATTCCATTACAAGAGTTTGATCACAGGAATTTCCTTAATGTATAGCTTATTGTTACTAGAAGATGGAATCTCTCGTTAAATGTGATTATCAACAATTTCACGGTGGAGAGAGAATTATTTATACCGCATTTCAAATTTAGATTTATTAACCAATGAATATTGCTGACGAAATATGATATTAAGATGTGTTAAGATATGTCTGTCTCTTCAGCTCTGTTTATATTCTTATTCATACGTTTCAACTGTATCCAGTGTTCCCTTTTATCATTTCGGACAGATTCTCAGTCTGCACACATTATATTATCCTTCTTTTCACCAATCAATGCGATATTTGAGTGAAACCATTAGTTTTCATAAATATCATCTCAGCATATTTTGTTGTCAATATATAATTTTTTTTCAAACGCTTATTGCATCACTGTGAAACAGGAAGAAAAATCATGTACCACAATCAGTGGCAGGTCCCAAAGGGTAGGTCTTAGAGTGGGTTCGTTACTAATACGTTCTTTTTCACGTAGTTCACTCATCTTTATACTTCTGTCTCCTTTTTATCCAACATATGTTTTCCCCATTTTATCCTGTGTGATCCTGCATGATATTATTGTGTTGGTGGACTGGAAGTCTCGCATGTCGCACCGTAAGACCATGTTATCTTCGTAATCAGACTACAGTATGTAGGATGTCTTAACTACAATATGCCCTCGATTGACGATGAGGTGTAAAGACCTTACTGAGCTAGGTAACATTAAAACTATATAACCTTACTGTGTTGGGTAGCATTACGACTATAAGACCTCGCTGTGATTGTTGACATTTAGACTATCTGACTCTGCTGTTTGGTTAATGTGAAGACTATAAAACCTCGCTGTGCTTATTGACATTAAGACTATATGACCTGACTGTGTTTGGTGATATTAAGACTATATGACCTTACTGTGTTGGGTGACAATAATATATTACCTCATTGTGTTGGTTGACATTAAGACTATATGACCTTACTGTGTTGTGTGATATTAAGACGTTATGACCTTACTGTGTTGGGTGTTATTAAGACTATATGACCTTACTGTGTTGGGTGTTATTAAGACTATATGACCTCACTGTGTTGTGTGATATTAAGACTATATGGTCTTACTGTGTTGGGTACTATCAAGACGTTATGACCTTACTGTGTTGGGTGATATTAAGACGTTATGACCTTACCGTGTTGGGTGATATCAAGACGTTATGATCTTACTGTGTTGGGTACTATCAAGACGTTATGACCTTACTGTGTTGTGTGTTATGACCTTACTGTGTTGTGTGATATTAAGACGTTATGACCTTACTGTGTTTGTGTGATATCAAGACGTTATGACCTTACTGTGTTGGGAGATATTAAGACGTTATGACCTTACTGTGTTGGTTGACATTAAGACTATATGACCTCACTGTGTTGGGTACTATCAAGACGTTATGACCTTACTGTGTTGTGTGATATTAAGACGTTATGACCTTACTGTGTTGTGAGATATTAAGACGTTATGACCTTACTGTGCTGTGTGATATTAAGACGTTATGACCTTACTGTGCTGTGTGATATTAAGACGTTATGACCTTACTGTGTCGGGTGTTATTAAGACATTATGACCTTACTGTGTTGGGTGATATTAAGACTATATAACCTCACTGTGTGAGGTGATGATCAGACATTATGACCTTACTGTGTTGGGTGATATTAAGACTATATAACCTCACTGTGTCAGGTGATGATCAGACATTATGACCTTACTGTGATGAGTGATTAATATCAGGCCACCAATTCTCCCCTAACCTCACTTCACATATTGTAAAACATGAATGAAGCATTGGAATTGGTGTTACTGTTTCACTATTGAACATGTTTCGAGCCGATGTAATTTAACCACGAAATTTTCATGTTTCTACCTCTAGATTTCTAAATACAATTCTGTATTTTGTAATTTGTCTATTTCACATAGTTCTTATCATTACTTTGTTGCATCGGATATCTTGCTTCGGAATGTTTTTTTTTTTTTTTTTTTTTTTGTATTAAAAAGAATTATATCGCTTTCGTGAGAATATAACCTATTTGGACATTTTTTTACTTCTACTTCAAAAGGAACATATATTGAATATGGTATGTTAATCTTGGTGAATGTATTAAAATGTGTTTAATATTTCATCATTCGGTAAGTATAAGGTTATGCATTGCATGGCACCGACAATCACTCACGGGATGTCACTTTTAACAGCGGTTATAGAGCTACAATACAGTTACAGTGTTTGAGGTCTCTCTCCAAAGTGCTAGAGACACTACTGTAAGAGCTGTATCGTTAGGTCTGTTACAATATTTTAACGAAGTTTTATTATTTTCAGTAAAAAATGTAAAATACACTGCCTTAAAATGTAAATTATCAAATTTGTGAATAACATTGGAACATTGAAAGCATATATAAAATGATAAACATCATCACGTGCGTAAAATACTTGTAATTGTTTAGGCTTGTATCTTTAAGAGGTTCTGTTAATATACAGAAAACGACTTAACTAGAGGAAAATGTTCGATTATGTAATAAACCAGCAAGTCCATGTTTTGGAAAGCATCAACATATAACACACTCAACAACTTGATTACCTGTTCAATACATCGCCATCAACATAAGGTTGATTTGAGGAAAATCGTTTTGAAACTTTCATGATCAGCATTAGATTAGGATTAAGAAATGTTTGAAAAATCCTTTTTTAAAAAATGTTAAAATGTATATCAAAATCAATTAATGTTTATCTGTGGTAAATACCTAAATATATAAATAACAACAAAAACGGTGATTATTTTTTAGAAATCATTTATTTATCACACCAATTACAAGTTTATCAGTGGAAACATGCTTGGTATATAAAAATGTACAGTTAATTCTAGTATAACCAGTAATAAGTAAACATGCGTCAAAACAGTTCTGTTTGCAAAAATGAATAATTTAACATTACAAACAGCAACACGGTATTTTTAGAAATAATATTCGATTTGTCTGGTGACGGATAAAACATACGTACACACAAAAGCATTCAACAATAACGTGTCATATCCTGGTTACTCTTTTGGTCCACCAAATTAAATTATCATGTTGCAATACTTTTTTAACAGGTGTTCTTTATTCCTATTAATGTTATAAAAGTGTATTTATCACCCGCGGTGCTACGTGATACGACCATGTCATCAATATCGTAAGACAGATGACGACACTGCTGTGACGTCTTAATTTAGTTTCACCTTGATGATGGTATATGATTCTCTCGGCAGTGAAAAATGTTCGAAATAGGCTTGTCATCTAACTTAATTTGAGAGTTTTCATTTATTTTTCAGACAAAAGGGTTTTGTGATCAATAGAATCTTACACTCGTGCTGGCGTTATGTGGAATTTATTTATTATTTGATTAATCCCATATTACATTGGAACTCGGTCGGTCATCTATATGTATATTGATTTAAATTTGATGACTTGTACGTGGTATATGTATTAATTCGATTTCGACTGATCCGTTTGTACAGACTTCTACCTAAGGACAAGGATGGAGCGTAAGTCAATATTGAATAATAATATCGATGTTATATACTTGCTATGCCTGTGCATGTCGCCTACTCTATCGCGGGGTACCGGAATACTCGTTGCATCCTGTTAAACATGTGATTTCTTATGTGTATGTGCTCATCAGTAATTACCGAAATCATAAGACATTATCACATGCAATCACTTTCATTGCCACCTACACAACCTGGATATATGTGGTACAGCAGATTAACTAATTGATATGTTTTATACACAGATATTTGTTGTTGATGTTGAGGGCAGATTCACATTTGAGACTCCTTGCAAGTACAACCATCCTTAACTCTAGAAAATAACTTGCCGAAAATTGGTTCTTAAAAGGCATTTATCAGCTGTTTATTCATTTATAGAGATAAATTTAAACTTTATTTATTTTACAATTGCGAAACAAACTAACAAGCTAATTAATCACTCTTGTTAGCCTGGATGGAAGCGCGCGGAACTACCCAGGGGGAAACCCACGTGGTCGGGCAGGTGACCCCAACGCTTTTCACGTCCGTTTCGGGAATCGAACCCCGGACGGCTAGGTGAAAGACGAGTGCGTTATCACTGCGCTAACCGAGCACCCAATAGCAATTTTCTGACGATAAGAAATGCCTGCATTTTTATGACAATTAGTCTTCCTACCTGACTTTGAACTGTCTTCATAAAGCATGTTCAGATAAAACATGACAATGGTCTCGTGTATGTTTCATAACCAGTGAACCCATTTTCATTACAAACGAAACATATATCGGTAACATTTATAAAGTCATAATTGAATGTCTGCAAGATGACCAATATTTACATAATATGACGGGTATAAACAGTAACACATTCGTCATACGCCCATAATATTACATATATATGACATGTAAACAGAGTAACCCACTCGTCATTTACCTACAATATTACACATGTAATATGACGTTCATTCAAAGCAATCCATTTGTCATACACCCATAATGTGACATTTATATGACCCTTCATTATTGGGTATCAATTGTATTTTTCCTAGTGAACGTACCTTTAGGAAATAATGTCTATACTGCTAATGAGTTCTTATACAGAAGTAATGATGATTATTAAACGGATATATCTATGTAATACTACACAGTGACCTGTAGCATGCAGATGTTATATTCATTCGTTGATATTATAGAACGGAAATAACATACATCTGATCTGGGTTGTATTAGTTATGAGGGCTCTAGCCTGCTGATATATGACGAATGCATGTATTTGCTTACCAGCATGCTTGGGACATTAATATGATTGTACGTTATTTACGTGTAAACTATGTAGCGAAGGCTTCCTATAAACTATTAATTCAAAATGTGAAATCGTCATTGAATTTCTTACTTTTTAACTTCAGCCCATTGCTGATGGTGTTTTTAAGTTTTTGTTATAATTTTCACCTGCATGACAAAATCCTTTCTGACCCTTTTCCTGCCAATTATAGCATACATAAACAAGAATTAACGAATGGTATTGAACCATTCTCTGCATAATTGTTTAATATATACATTGCGCCATCAAAAATCTAGGCATTTTATTTTGACTTCTCACGAGAAATAGAAATTTATTTCCTGAAAGTAATGAATTTGTCATTGATAATTAAATGTACTTTCGAACATACTTCGCCTTCTTGAATTAACTGGTAGGATCAAGTAATGAATGTATTTCTGAACAAAATACCCACACGATATAGCTAAAAAGTTACTGAGATTCTGCGTGAAGATCTGAGGTGCTTTTCGTTTGAATCTTTCAACCAGTGATGTTTTTGTTTTGAAGAAGCTGAGATGTTGCGCTGACATGGTTGTGTCCAAGGGCAAGAAATCTGAACTTCATTGCTCTGGATGACATGAAGCAAGTCTCCCGTATTGTAATCAATAAAATAGCTACTACAATATCAAAATGACCTTGGCTGTCCACGGGGCGACAAACCCTACAAACCAACATATTTGCTGAAATTCGAAATATCGACGTCTGTCTGTATAGAGTGCCGAGATGATACTTCGGTGACATTGCGCCATGTTAAAACCTGCAAGACAATACTTTTGAGAAAGTTTACCAAGATATCACCGATTCTTATCAGCAACACAAATTATTAATATTTACTTATAGTTATTATTTAAGTGTAGATGAAATATGAAAACATATTTTTTTCAGTGGACAGAAGTTTGAATTGATTGGCGATGTGTCAACTACATTGGCGGAGCTTCATAAACAAGACACGTAAGTTCCATTAATAGTCCATTCCTGTGCCAGGATAGAAACCATACACAGGTCCATTAAAGAAAACATCGCTTGGCGATCAGGGCCGTATTGATAACCTCATATTATCTAGTCATTGATAAGTCGTGTTTATTTCACAGAATCAAATTAATATACTTTACCAGTTGCTGCTGTATTCCATCTCTTACTCTAATTTCATTTAGAATGTGACATATCTATATATATATTGTGTGTTCCGATTCATATGCATACAAATTTTTGTGTATATGTGGATGTTTCTCTCCTGGCTGTTTGTGTTCTAAGAAGTTGTTGGTATTCGATGTTATTGTCAATATGATTTCTAGTTAAATTTGTGGTTTGATCCAATTTTTACGCATCAATTAATAATATACACTGTATCGTGACATTGTGAATATAAACACATACACTACGAGTATTATTGTCAGGCAATGTTAACAACGTTTTCTTACTAAAATATCACAAACTTATCATGGTACAATGTCATTTCCATCAGATATTATCGCTCTTTACAACGGGCTAACCTTAGAAACGAGAAACACTTTCACAGAGGGCGTGTAATGTAGACCGTACTCCCGGATGGCGCATTTTATTCAATGTATTAAATATAGAGGCGAATGCACCTCCTCATCTGTATTTTCACATTAATTTCGATAGCTTGTATTTCCTCACTCACCTATAACCACTGTCGAGTCCCAGAAGGACAAAACAGTTGACCGATTTACTTGATAAGTTGGCAGTTTTGTATCCTACTCTATATTTGCTCTAATCACTTGTCTCTGGTATAATCCTTTGACAATTCTGTATCTTATTCTGTATTTACTCTAATCACTTGTCTCTGGTATAATCCTTTGACAATTCTGTATCTTATTCTTGGTATAATCCTTTGACAATTCTGTATCCTACTCTATATTTGCTCTAATCACTTGTCTCTGGTATAATCCTTCTTCTGTGTCACTTGTCTCTGGTATAATCCTTTGACAATTCTGTGTCCTACTCTATATTTACTCTAATCACTTGTCTCTGGTATAATCCTTTGACAATTCTGTGTCCTACTCTATATTTACTCTAATCACTTGTCTCTGGTATAATCCTTTGACAATTCTGTATCTTATTCTATATTTGCTCTAATCACTTGTCTCTGGTATTGTTCTTTGACAATTCTGTATCTTATTCTATATTTACTCTAATCACTTGTCTCTGGTATAATCCTTTGAGTCGGCGATCAAATAATAACTCAGCACAACGTTTTTCTCATTTCTTTCTTTTGTTGACGTCATACAGGACAAGAAAAGACAGCTTTATTACACTGCCACTAACGAATCCGAAAGACCAGAATAAACACAAGTGGGACTTGCGCATCATCAAGTTTAGGTAGGTTTCTGGCAAGATAAGTCAACTCAAAACACGTAATGCTATAATCATATTAATTGTGTCTTGCAATGAAATTGTATTTAAATCGTTATATTGGTAAGTAGGAGGTCTTTGAAATAACGCTTTATCACAATTTTTGTTATAAAGTTTGCAACATTAGCTGATTTTCTCGAAGAAACGACATCTTATTAGAAATGGTTGGTATATTTGACAGGCAATGTCTTTGCCTGTGCATAAATCTTGTCCAGAATATTTGGCAGTAGCGTCTAATCTACTCCTTGTTAACCTCAGAGTATTTCATTAAAACTACATGTCTAGTTTTACTTCGTTTTACATAAAACTGGCAGGGCCCTGTTATAATCAGCATACATTGTCATTGTGTAATTAGGAAAAGTCTTACGTAATATTCATCAATACCTCATTATTTAAATATTGGACAACATATTAAGCATATGGTTTCTAAACAGTATTTTTTTATATTGCTGGTGCCAAATTGGCTTCTTCAGCAACGTTCATTCGACAACTCGCAGATAAGTTCAAATAATATTGTCTCGAGAAAATGTCCAAGATCTACTGTCTGAGACCCGGAAACGCATGTCTTGTTGTCTGTTGATTATTTGACACCGGGTCATGGGAACTGCAATTTTCACGGGGTTTCATCAGATCTGCATGTTTCAAGGTCTGATCAGATTGAAAGTATCATAAGATTACGTTCTACATATCATCGATCTGGAAAACAGGGTCAAGGGTCACAATGGACAGTTCGTGTGTTAGGTATATGTCTTTGTTCAATTTGTAGTTATATGTTGTTATAATTGTAGAATTTATGTCTTGATTTCTTCTTTGTTTGATAACATGATTATTTATTTGTTATTTGTAGAGTTGACAGACAGCATACTCTAATCGACTACCTCCGCGGGGGTTTACACCTGAATCTCATGATCGCAATTGACTTCACGGTCAGTCGATATGTATATCATAACTGTTATACCTTATAGATTGTTGATGTGATTCACCCCTGTTATAGTGTTAGGTAAAATGTTATTCTGGTTACATAAATTTGAATAAAAACTGATGATTTCCTAAGTTAAAATGTGAAAATTATTTCATTTATAATTTTTTTATTGACGAAACGAATGTCAAATGTCAAATGTCAAATGTGGAGAAAATACAGCTATTTTCTTATGTCAGAAACTATACAAGATAGTGTTCATAAAACTCTACCTACCTAAAAGTACACCATATTTACTAGACTTTATACCATAAATACCAGTTATCGGAATGGTTCGATATAAATACGGGTTATCAGAATGGTTATATAAGAATACAAGTTACCAGAATGGTTATGTATAACCTAATAGTCTTGGCGACAATGGTTATATAAATGTCCATCCGATAATGCAAACTGAAAATATCTAGTTATTTGCAATAAATGGATGACGTGACTCATGGCCTTGGTTCCAGCTCTAATGAAGTGTTCATGTGTTTACGGATTCTTTCATGACAAGCCTTTAATTGGAATTCGTCAGAATGTGATCGTCATGTGACATTGTCACTAAACAGCCTCAGGCGGGAGCAGTTTATCGTATCGAATGGTTTCCTGTTCTGACTAACGAAATTAGACTGTTTTATCTGATAACTGGTCATCCCCACGAACTTGTTGATCAAAACTAGCGAAATCATTGTAATTTCTTGTTTAGCTGGCATGAACGATGTTAGAACTAATTTTATTTCTATTTTGCAGGCCTCTAATGGAAGTCTTAACGATATTTACTCGCTCCATAACATACGGGACTTGAATGTAAGTTTCCCTCTCAGTTTCTGATTGACTTCATCGTATGTGTGATTACAGTATTAAGGCCCAATATACATTCACCAGTAATGACGCTGACATAATTTATTAATTGGATCCCCGTTAATAGGGTCTTTAGAGTTCAAACAGTTCAGACAGTATTACAGTCCGTAATTGATGGACGACTTCCATCCAATTCTATAGATATACTGAGCAGTGTTTAAGACATAAATGACGCAGTTGATATTGTAAAATTCGATGCAAAATCACGTTGTTTTCGATTTTGTAGTTAACTTCGCAATATTGTTTCATGAGAAATATCCGCACGCCAGACAGCATCAATTTATCATAATTAAAAATGGGGAAAAATCCTTTTTATTGCTTACTATTTATTCTTTTACATACTGTGTTGAGAAGTATGCGTCTTTCCTTTCAGTCGAACCCGTATCTACACATTCTAGAGACAGTCGGTAGGGTGATTTCAGACTGTAATTTTGATAGGAAGGTGGCGCTGTACGGGTTTGGCGCCAAATGGAATGAAAAAGAGTATCCGTCACATTGCTTCCCGCTCTCAGGTGACAAGACCTCGCCGTACATGCGAGACATTGAGGTAAGAAATATGACGTCATAACCAAATGATGGTGAAGAAAGTAAGAACAGGTTTTCAGTAATCGTTTGGTTTAATTTAGTCAAGAAATTCCATAAGGATAATGCTTTTCCGTCAGTTGACGTAAACCAAGGAACATGGTCGTCACGTTCTACACTAGATTCCGGTAATGTAATTACACCGAGTGCCCATAACACTAGAACGTACCTTTTCTCTATATAATGAGGTTTATTCCCCAAAAATCACCCAACTTCGGAAATTATCTCAGATACAAAACATTGTCAATATGAATATGTGGTCCGTTTTTCAGTCAATATCTTTATACACATCGTTAAGTCAGTATCCTATTGAATACACAGATCAGTCAATATCCTATGAGTTACACCTGTAGGTTAATATCCAAATATACAGGTCACTAAATATCTTAATATACACGTCGGTTAATATCCTAATATTCAGGCAATTCAATCTCCTTATGCACATATCAGTTAATATCCTAATATACAGTCCATTCAATGTCCTAATACACACATCAGTAAATATCCTAATATACAGGCCATTCAATATCCTAATACACACATCAGTAAATATCCTAATATACAGGCCACGCAATATCCTAATACACACATCAGTAAATATCCTAATATACAGACTACTCAATGTCCTAATGTACAGACAAACCCAATGTCCTAATGCACACGTCAGTAAATATCCTAATATACAGGCCATTCAATATCCTAATGCACACGTCAGTATATATCCTAATATACAGACAAACCCAATGTCCTAATGCACACGTCAGTAAATATCCTAATATACAGACTACTCAATGTCCTAATGTACAGACAAACCCAATGTCCTAATGCACACGTCAGTAAATATCCTAATATACAGGCCATTCAATATCCTAATGCACACGTCAGTAAATATCCTAATATACAGACTACTCAATGTCCTAATGTACAGACAAACCCAATGTCCTAATGCACACGTCAGTAAATATCCTAATATACAGGCCATTCAATATCCTAATGCACACGTCAGTATATATCCTAATATACAGACAAACCCAATGTCCTAATGCACACGTCAGTAAATATCCTAATATATAGACTACTCAATGTCCTAATGTACAGACAAACCCAATGTCCTAATGCACACGTCAGTAAATATCCTAATATACAGGCCATTCAATATCCTAATGCACACGTCAGTAAATATCCTAATATACAGACTACTCAATGTCCTAATGTACAGACAAACCCAATGTCCTAATGCACACGTCAGTAAATATCCTAATATACAGGCCATTCAATATCCTAATGCACACGTCAGTAAATATCCTAATATACAGACTACTCAATGTCCTAATGTACAGACAAACCCAATGTCCTAATGCACACGTCAGTAAATATCCTAATATACAGGCCATTCAATATCCTAATGCACACGTCAGTATATATCCTAATATACAGACAAACCCAGTGTCCTAATGCACACGTCAGTAGATGTCCTAATATACAGACAAACTCAATGTCCTAATGCACACGTCAGTAAATGTCCTAATATACAGGCCACGCAATGTCCTAATATACACATCTGTTAATTAAAACGCCCATAAACCCTGAAGTTATTTCGTATTGATGTAAATTATACAGGAAGTGATCCGAAAGTACAAGGACATCCTTCCTGTTCTGACGTTTTCCGGTCCGACTATGCTGGCCCCTATAATAGACAAGGCAGTAGCACTGGAGGAAAGTCAGAACTCCTCCAGGGAAAACCATGTGTACAGTGTACTTCTCGTTATAACGGTAAGTATTGAGGAGATCTTTATGCGTGGTAACTTTAATTGTCGACAAAGGCTTCAATAAGTAGTGACATTTCGATGGCTAATTTTATTTCATAAGTTTTGATAATATTAATGTTTTCTTAAACTTTTAGGCAGTAATATTTTAAGAAAGAGTTCTTCTTGAGCAAACATAGTCACGTTAGTACCTATCAGAGGTAATCTCGTAATATATTCCATGTCCTTTAAACTAATATGGTTAGAGAAAAAAACCACTTCATATTGAAAAATTGAAGAATACATCAACCAGTTGAAAATATGAAGAGAGTGTTAAACGAACGTGTAACAAACATGCTTAACCTTTGTGCTGTATTTTAGGACGGAGTCATAAATGACATGAACAATGTGATAAAGCGCCTCATAGAAAACAGTCATAGAGCCTTGTCAGTGGTGTTTGTAGGTGTTGGACCAGCTGATTTCTCGCTCATGGTAGGTTTACCTAACATTACCATACTACATTTGATCATTTCATCGTTCTGACGTTGTGTTCAGTTTTACGCATATGAATGGTGGGGAGTGTTAATTAAAATTCGTGTTACATCGATCGTGTTTGAACGAATTCTAGTATGTTTATATTGTCGGGTATGTATTCATGAAAAAAAAATTGTGTCGAAGATGAATTATTTCATTGTTTATTTTGTTCTATTTGACAAGGATACGATTTTAGCAATACAGCAGCGGACATCAGAACAGTATATTTGATAATGTCGAATATATCGCATTGATTTCAGGTAACACGTATACATCTATAGATGTTAGCTAAATACACTACACATTTAGCTTGTTGGCTTCATCATTATCATTGTAATGTGTGTACATTACCTTTCAACAGGAACATTTCAGCGATAATGCTGGTTTACTAAAACTAGAGAAGACAGGAAGGTTTTCAGAGCGTCGCAACACACATTTTCTGCCATATGTGAAGAAAATGGAAGATGCAGAAAGCGACAAGCTGTTGGCAAGTGTCCATCATTTGTTATTGTGATCACAGTAATTATATGTGTCAAAAATAATTTGCTTCCGGTACCGCTTAAGGTGTACTATTAGTTTTGAAGAACAACAGTACCCACTGTTGACCTATGATATAGACTACGGATGAGTTTAAGCCTTTATCTTGATATTTGTTTTATTTTACAGAAACGGGACGTTATGACAGTGTTATCTAAACAGATACTGCAGTTTTATAAGAATGTGGAGCCCAATAAACCTAAACTTCGACGTCACGATCAGCTCAACTCTGTTCCATGGGAGGCCATCTTAGCCACTCCGACCGTCGATGAAGGTGGAAATCTCGCCAGGTCAAAGTCCAGGATCAGCGTCTTGTCTGTCAAACATACGAGTAAGATGTTAACAAATTATAACCCAACAATAGGTACCCGATGATTGTGTTAACCACTGTACTATACCACCGTATTAATGACAGTATGGTCACCTGACATGTTGATAACTTAAGGCAATTTTGTAGTGTAGTTTTGTCATTAAGTGATTTGTTATTAGTAACTAAGGATTTCACATGTAAAATTCCAATTCTGCTAAATGAGATGTAATATCAAGATTTTGAATATTCTTGTATAGGAAATGAGACACTGCAGTATGAGACATTTTATGATGCGATAAGTAACAAGTTGACCTTGATTTTACTTACAGAACCTATGTGTCCAACATGTGGAGCTGCCATTGACGTCAGTAAGTCCGGACGAGATCACACCACTCCTCCCCATTCAAATCAACGACACAGCATGTTCAGTTCCACATTCTCACCTGGTGCCACAATATAACAAACTGAAAAAGACGACTAAAAGCTAGACAGAATGGAAAGTCATCAAATGTTATCAACCAAGTATCATCAACAACTCTTGTACTATATGTCATACAGCATTTTCTCTCTATTACAAATGGTCAAATTAACATGACTTCCGTTAATGATACTTTATGATTCAGCAGATTGGATATCATTCTCTTTACTCCACGTACTGGCCCATCTATATGTCTGTGGTTCAAAGTGAAACAGAAATGGCATTCTGATTATTTTGGAAATTGTGGGCAATTGACATCGCTCGAATGATACGTCATCACCTTGCCAAACAATCACGATATTCAACCTGTAAGAATTCTGTTTATGTAGATTTACTGTGGCGGAAATGGTTTCAATTCTTCTCCATTTTTGTTGCTATTGTTTGTGAATATCAATATCTGCCATGAGCTGTAATAAGTAAATCACCTACCACAAGCACATCAAACGGAATTGAAGTTTCAGGTTCGTGGTATATCAATTCCTTTTCCTGGACAGTCCCGTTACGTGACGCAATGTCTCTACACGAGGTGATGTAATATATATATATAAGTATATTTATATAAATGACGTATTTGTTATTTACATGCACATACCAATCAACTCTTTCATTTTTACCTTTTTAAACCATAGTCTTTTTTTCATCAAATCTGTAAATGTATGTTTATTCATTTTGTAACTGATTTTTCAATAAAAATATTTTTTCAAATTATGATTTATGTGCGTTTTCTTTCATCTTGAAAGGCACACCAATCACACGAACATGATGTCATATAACATCCTCACACAAAAGACACACATATGAATATCACATTTTAATAATTAGATACAGTTAGAAACAGTAGAGCCAAACAATGAATTAATTGTATCATACAACTGTTTCGTCCTTCTTGGACCCGTCAGTGACGTTAAGGACCTAAAATGTGAACTCAGGGAGGCGACTGAAGAAACATAGCATCAGGAAATAAATACAATATACGTTTTCACTGTTATCAAATATTGTACAAAAACGTAGAAGTGAATAGTACCTTTCAGTGTAAATCTATAATCATATACAGTAGAGCTAAACATTCTATTAAACTGCATCATGCAACTATTTCGTCCTCCTCGGAATGAAACGACTGAGAAAAATCTAAATTGGTCGGAAAATGTCAAAAACTACATGGTGAGATGCACTGACCCAAAAGTTAATAAATGTGATAAATTTCAATATTGAATGATTACAAGAGAACGTGTATATTCTGGACCGTGCCACTGTTGGAATGAATGAAAACATGCAGGTTACAAAGGAATGATACGTCAATAATTAAACAGAACATGGACGTTGACTTGACGGGGATGTCGTTACGTTTACCTTTCCAGGTCTCGAACGTCTTGCACACTTTTCGATTTTGTTGGTTTTTCTCCATACTTCACCATGATTCAGTTGGTTTGGAGTTAAAGGAACAGTATTATTTACTAATGTATGTAGGTTTCTAGCATTCAATGGTGGTATTATACACTGTCCATCTCCGTGTAGGTGACATTGTCCATTATCGCAATATGGAATCGCAGCAAAATAAAGATGTTTGGAAGAATACGACATAGCGGAACACATACATCACCACTAGAAGAGCTTCCTGTTTGTAATCGCAAAGAATTACACTGAAGGCGCTTAAACAATTAAGACTCAGTTAAGATTTATTACGAAATAAAAGCTGTATCACAATATTAGATTTAATCTGAAATCGATCATTTAATATTGCAGGTTTGTAATACAGGTACAATGTGGGCTTAATACAAAATCAATTTATCAATATATATCAGAATGGGAAGGCTCTGTCACAGAGTTCAAAGTATCTAATTAGTGGATTGATGTTAGTCAAAGTCTAATGAAAAAGGTAGTAAGTGGTTGTTTTACTGCAGCATCCTAAATAGCTTGTGTTGACATCATGGATTAGATAATAAGTGTGCGCAATGTGTCTTCATGCGTTTTATGCTGTACACAATATCATAAATGTTATTAGTTTTCGTCACACTATGCTATTTGTGAAACATTGTTTATGTCAAGAGCTGCCGTTGGTCTTCTTAACAAAAACCTTTTTATATCGTGTCTGTTTTCGAGTTTGAGTCATGCAGCGTTTTTATATGTAGGAAATAAAGAAAATGAACACCTGTAACTAACAATTTAATGGTTTATGTTGTCTATCAATCAGGGATGACAGTCGATTGATTATTTATAACACATTTACAAATTATACATTTATTTAGTTTCTAACGATAAAATAACGAATAGACGTGTATCAGAATTCGACATGAAAATGGAATAACAATACCAACTGAGATAAATTCCATTCGCTGTCCTTTATAATAAATGATGTAGTTACTCATGGGAATTCCCTTTATAACCTTGTATGTGAAAATGCAGTAATTGCGATGAAATAGGACTTCCTTTAAATCCCTGCGTGAATACCTGCAATAATAGAGACTAAATGGGGCTTTCTTTGAAGTTCCCCTGTGTAGATCTGTATTTGTGTTGATAAAGTTTGGCTTTGACTTCCGCATGTATAAATGTTTTAAAAATCGAGATAAAGCGGACAACCTTGAAAATACACGTATGTTAAGCTGTAGAGAACGAGTCTAAGTGGGACTACCTTGTACGTGCATGTATGAAGTGCTGAGGCGATTGAGACAAAGCGGGGCTACATTGTTAGTGTGTTTACAGCTGTAGATATTGAGTTCTGGCGGAATACCTTGAAAGCGCATGTTTGTAGAGCTTCCGACATTACAACACAGTCGTTGTAGAGCTGTAATATAGATATTAAACGGAACTCGTTCTATTTTTATTCTTTATTTGAAATGTTGGTATTTTCTTGTTAGATTCTATTGAAATTATCTCATTATAGAGAGTTTGAGTCCTTGTCCATTCATACTTTACGGTGATTCAGAAAACTAATTGAAACCTTGCTCTGGGCATATGATATGTTGGCGTCTGTAGACGATGGCAATGCTTATGGATGGACATGTATTTGGAGATATGGAGTACAAAATCACTTCTATTGCCGAATTAACAATATACTTAAAATCATTATCGAAACAGTCCTGTTACTGTAGGGCATATATCATATATTTCATGTGTTAATAGAATAAAAATATCCGACGAATGTTTTCCCTGTAAGCTTTAATAATATTTTGTATTGTTATATATAAATGAATATTTTCTGTATGTTTCATTTTATTGAAGATAAATGACATAATTTCCTTACTTCTTAGGTTTTTTCTTGTCTTCAGTGTACCGTTGTTCAGGAATAACTACAAAAATGCTGGATAGGTTAAATGTACATATTCACTATATAATATCAATAAATTTGAATTCACCGAAAACAACTGAACTTTAAACAAGTATGGAAAAAATCCAAACCACAAAATAATAAAGGAGAATTTATCTGTATCTGTTTCGATTGAGATCAATCATGCCAAATGAACTGGGATCAACCGGATACTTCTTCACTCTTAATAGATATATAACTGTTGTAAAATAGGTTCTGAATCGTTGGAACGGAAAATACCAGAGATGTATTCTTTCTGTACGGAAGCTCATACGACTCATAACTGACCGGAAACTTAATTGGTCAATGAACTATTAGGACGGATAGAGTTCCGAAAACAAGAAACGTATATGATTTCCAGCAGTGGAAGCTGTGCATCAGTACAATGGATCTGAGGCTGTCATCAATTCTGATGCTATGACTAGCTCAGTGAAGCCTTTAGCAACAGTGATTCTATCCTTGTTGAACGATATTGTTTGGCCGTTCAAAATGGTTCATTTGTTTTGACTATGTAATCAGTCGGTTGGATTAATTGTGGCTGTTAAACTAATCTTCCTGTTATTCCTGCTAGAACATGTTTTGAAAATAAAGATTTAACTCACCATTTTGCAGCGGTTAAGTAGTGAAAACATGCCTACAAAATGATACAATACATTCATCTTGACATCCCAATGGCTGTTCCAAGCGGAAACTAGCTAATAACCCCAGTAGAAGACTATTATGGTGGCTGGTAGTAGTTACGCCGACATACTTTAGCTTTTGCGTCAGTTAAATTGTTACCAGAATGTTGTCTTAGCTTGTCTGCATTAACAGAAATTTGATATAACGAAGTGTCGTTGAATTGTTTGATTTGCAGCTGATCAGGTACGCAAATTTACCCTCAAGGTGAAGGAAACGCTTTTGTGAATGTCAAGAAGAGATATCGTAATAATTAAACTTAACGAACATAAGCTACAAACATATATAACAATTATAATTTAATGTCCATGAATTATTCCAGTTGCATGTCTTCTTATCCGTCAAAAAAACAAAAGTTTGTCAAAAGTTACGCATGACAAAGACAAAAACTATTCCTTAACACCATTATGTCCCATAAGATATCACATATTTCCACGACTTTTGTACTCAAGAAATATTGGAGCGCTGAAGCATGGAAGATTTGGTGAGTATGGCATTATTTGCAAGATAGTTTAACGTAGGCGAAGGTACTGAAACCCGGTCTTATTCTCTTTGTACTTTTTTTGGGGGGTCTTTGGTGGTATTGTGCCTGTGATAAACAAGTATAACGTTTTCACGAATTTGTTTGTTGATTTATGATGGAACTATCGTGATTAACATTAAAAGTTTTTTATAGTTCTTTCGTCCACGATTCAGGGACAATATTTTAAGTATTCTGTGTTCATAGCTTGGTTAAACCCGGCTTCTTACAAATCGGAAAATTTGTTGTTTTGAATAATTTACTTGCTTTGCGTAATTTTAACAATGTTAAGAGATACTAAAATCGTTGCGTACAGTTTACAGTGATAAACTTGGTTATCTGCATTTAAACTCAAACCGGTTATTTTATGAAGCAAAAAATAATAAATCAACATTTCACCTAAGTTAGAAATAAGCCTTAAAGTTTCTTTATATGGTGAACAACTGTCCAGTAAGAGTATGATTCTCGACCATATAGTTC